ATATATTATAATATTATAATATCGTCACGCAGTCATATGGTATATTCACTGAGTGCAGGTTTGCTATAATATTAGTTGCCGATTAGCATAATAATATTATACCTATTATAGATTATTGCAGACCGTTTTAAAAACAATAATCACTGCACTACATAATATTATATTATTATAATCGTAGGATAACGATAATTGTCTGTGTAAATATAATTTAATGTGGTTGTGCATTAATTTCAGATAGCGTATATACAAGCACATATTATATGCGATAGCTAGGTATAAATTTTATGGTACCTAATTTATTATAAATTATTGTGTTTAGAGGTTACCGCTATTGCTGTATACGATAATATTATATAGAGCAGATATTTCATCACAATCTCGTCCGATCGTATTCAATTCGTTAATCGTCCTAATGATATTATCATAATACCTATAATATTTTATACGGTCACAGAAAACGTATGTACGCATCTCTAGACCGAAATAAAAATGTTACGAAACCATACAATTTATTATCATATTATTGATTATTAGCGATTATTATTAATATACCTACCTATATACTAATTCCACAACGTCAACGACCTATTAAATAATATGATAATTGCAGGGTATAATAAATGAGCGTCTTTTAATTTGGTACAATATACAATAACTTAGACTAAAATATGTCTAAACCATAATAGATATCATATTGTGCACTTATATAATATGTATAATATAGACATTTTTACGACCGTCGATTCTGATAAGACGTACATCGTATATCTATATACATAGGTAATAATTATTGTGTTATAAATACATCACGTCATATTGTTATAAATACCTATATAGCTACTTAGTTATCATTAAAGTTTACGAATTTTAATTATGAATTAAATAAGAATGTATAGGTATATAGGTAACTCGAATATAAATTTTTGTGCAAGAATTTTAATTAATTATATTGTAATTAGGTATACAAACTATAAGAAACTAAGCAAAACCATTACGGAAATGATCTACATGTATTAGTGTATTAATTAATATTAACAAAAAAACAAAAACAAATTGATGCAAGGTAGGCGAATATTGAAAACATTTTTGTATAATAGTATGCTATATTGCTATAATGGCACAAAACTCGACCAATAAAGTGTAGTGTAATGTTGACATTAGAATAATAATATATCCATATAGGTTGTATAAATATAGTTGAAAACCCATAAAAAACGAAAACACGAATCAAAAGAATCTAAGTAGAAACAGCCAATTTTAGTAGAATTTTTATAAAAATATTCCAATAAAAACTGCTACATTTAAATATTATGATTTCAAATATTTTTAGTCTTATAATAATCATGCCTTGGCCCAACCGCCCAACTACA